AACGCTAACTGTTTGGTCAATGAAGGCCGAATGTTTCTTGTATGGAAACGGTCAATCTCATCATTACGATTGTCATAGAAATGCATTGGAAATGATTTTAAGATAGGAATCCATTCAAAATGATTTGACTATAGTCAAGTGTCATTTCTGAAAAAGAGTTTTAAGAGAAAGAATTTATAAACAATGTTGATGGGGAAACGAAATGAGCTACCGTTAACTATTCTGTTGTGCATTTGAAGATGCTTTGTGTCTAGTGGGATTGGACTGGCATTATATATTACGGGATCTTTCCATAAAATCAGTCATTGAATTCACACAGGCACTGTCCCATTTGGATCAATTAAAGCAACAATCGATGAAAAGCATTCGAAATTGATCAACAAGAAAAGGTGTCGTCATCGATTAGGACATTGTTAGACCTTATGTTTCTTTGCAGGTCCAGCAGAAATTGGTACATCTTACATCGTATGTCCAACAACACCCGCCGTAGTCGCTAGATCTTGCACCTTCGGATTACCATATTTATATTTAGATGATTGTCTTAAAAACAACTTCAATTCTGTGGAAAGTCTGTAAAAAACACCTAAACGAGTTCATCACCCAGAAAGATGCCAAGTTATGGGAGGAAAGAACCATGAAGTTGCTACAATGATGGCGCAAGGTGGCGACAAAAATAGCATTTTGGTTGAATAAATCTATATGCAAATTCACTTAAAAACACTATGAAATTTTGATCCGATTATTTATATACATATATATATATATATATATAAAAACGTTATTTTGAGTCGATACTTATATCTATTTATTTAACAGTGTATTTATTTTCATCTACTGGCCTGAATATTCGAGAAATCTTATCAAAGAAAAATATACGCTCTCCGACAGGATTTGAACCTGCGTCTCCCTGGGGAGAAAAAAACCGTCATTTGTTTCCGACGTGCTTTAAACTACTAATTTTTTTCGAATATTCAGGCCGATAAACGAAAAAAAAAAAATTTAATTTAGTTTAATAAATAAATGGAGCGTCTATTCAAATATGAGTATCCACTAAAAATAACGTTTAAAGGGATAAAAATCTGTCAAACTGAAAAATAAAAAAAAAATCATATTTGTCTATATATAGATTTGTAGCCTCAGTCTGTCTGCTTGTTACCGAACTCCACATAGAGTTTTGGAGACTGATCCATATATATATATATATATATATATATATATATATATATATATATATATATATATATATATATATATATATACTCTGAAACTACATTACACAGGGTACTTAAATATATTTCATTTTCATTAAAGGGAGATAATAAACAGTATTAACAACGTATAAACATATGAAATCTCTTAAAATAATTGTTGGACTTTGTCCATTTCATAATGTGTGACGTCATTTGTTTACATTTGGATACGAATCGAGCAGATATGAATGTATGAGAGAAAATCCTGGAGAATTGTGGTTTAAAAACAGTAAAATCGACCCTGCTAACCGAAACGTTCCTCTGTGACTCAATCTATATGACGGTTCCGTAAAGGATACAGGATCGATTCCTGTCGGAGGACGGATATTTTTTAGGAAAATTTATCGGACATTCAGGCCGGTAAATGTTGTTAATACTGTTTATTATAAACAGAGCATTTACTTAAATATTTGTATCTCCGAAAAGAATGTATAAATATAAAAAATGTCTTAAAATAATTGTCGGACTTTGTCCATTTCATAATATAAATATAAATTACAATAAAAACATTTTACATCCTTACGTAAAAACTTTCATGTTCGGATCTATAATGATTCCTCTTCGGGCGATGGTAAAAAACATATGTATATATTATATACAGGATGGTAGATCATATGTTATCTACCATCATGTTATATATATGATGATAGATGTTATCTATCATCGCTCGAAGAGGAATCATTATAGTTCCGAAACATGGAAGTTTTTGTGTAGCGATGAAAAATGTTTTTATTTTAATTTATTGTAATAAAAACATAATAATAATATTTTGCTCTACTTTGTATTGAGCACTTCTTAAAAAAGGAAATGCTAAGAACTGTGGATCCTTAATCTGTCTGTTCTTTTCTTATATTATATATATATATATATATATATATATATATATATATATATATATGAAGAGAAAACAATTTACTGTTGCGAAAATGTTTATAACGTGCTTTAATCACTAGTTCATCTACACTACATTTGCGTTCATGTTCTTACGTTTCACCATTCTTGGCAGATCTTCTGTTCTCACAATGTGTGAGTATTAATAACAAAGATGGCGGAAACAAAAAAGAAAAAAATCTAAATGGAATTGGTTAGAAACACATATAATTTTTCCCAGCATCCTTCGTTCCTGCGCATGTGTAATCGTATCAACGCAAACAGACCTAGCCTGATGAAGCCCTGAAAGACGAAACGCGTCACACGAAAACTTTCTCCACTTTATCACACGTCTTTCCTCCAATATATATATATATATATATATATATATATATATATATATATATATATATATATATATATATATATATATATATATCTGTGTGTGTGTGTGTGTGTGTGTTATTATTATAATATTTTTACTATAATATTTTATATCGCTACACATTCCGAAATTTGTCTTTTTTTCCATATTCCTTTAAAAAATAAATGTAGATAGTCCTCTACCAGAGTGGGAGCGAAATATCGAAATAAAGAGAAAGGATAGACAGATTAAGAATCCATAATTCTTAGCATGTGTAGTGATGTAAAATATTATAAAATTGTGGATTCTTAATCTCTCTGTTATATATATAGAGAGAGAGAGAGGCAGAAATTTTGAGTTATTACTTATATAAATACGCATATCTGAGTAAATGCCGTGTTTATAATAAACAGTATTAACAACATTTACCAGCCTGTATGTCCGAGAAACCTCGTAGAAAATATGCGTCCTCTGACATGAATCGAACCTGTATCGTACACTGAATCGTCATATAGCCTGACACACTATACCTGTTTAGCTACGAAGATCGAGTATGGTTAGCTTGATCGAATTACTTCTTTTAAATTACTAACTTCCCATGATTCCGTGTAGGATACAGGTTCGATTCCTGCCGGAGGGCGTCTATTCTCTTTGAGATTTCTCGGACATTCAGGCCGGTAAATGTTGTTAATACCGTTTATTACAAACAGAGCATTCACTTAAATATGTGTGTCTATATAAATAACGTATAACAACAAAATATATGAAAATAAAATTGTCAGACTTATATATATATATATATATATATATATATATAGATATATAGATATATAGATATATTAATTATAGTTGCTGACACTCACTGAACGAGAACAGTCACCAAACACGCCGCGATAGATGAGGTGGATCCCCATCCAACCTCCAAACACGGGTAATCGTTTATAGTCAACCATAGTTTGTGTAGAATTGGACGGCATTTATCCAATGAGAAGAACCATTCAAAATAACTGCAAACTGCCCACAACGCATGCGATTTTCTTAGTCTGATAGTAATAAAGTGATGGGATTGCTAATATCCGAATCATATCACGATATTGTTACATCTGCAATTGCTTACATTACCAGCTGTTCCAAAACGGTAGCCCATCTTCGTACTGACCCAGCTGGACATTGTTTAATTTCGAGGATGCAACGGGAACTAGACAGTGCCTTTAGCGTGATCTAACTATAAATATATATGATAGTTTATATATATATATATATATATATATATATATATTAAGAAATGGACAAAGTCCGACAATTTATTTAATAAAGACATTTTTATGTTTAACGTTCTTTTTTATAGATACAAGTATTTAAGTAAATGCTCTGTTTATAATAAACAGTATTAACGACATTTACCGGCCTGAATGCCAGAGAAATTTTCATAGAAAAAGGACGAATATTTTCTATGAAAATTTCTCGGATATTAAATTTAAAGAAAGTTTACGGTAGATGGCGCTGTGTTGCCATGTAGACTAGGTTACATTTGTCATTCGTGTACATTTGTGACTTCGACGTTTAACGTGTATAGTTGTTAACTGAGATGTATTCCGTTTAACAATGGCAGGATATGTATTGCTCTTTAAACAACTAGGAGTTTTGCATTAATAACGAGAAGTATTGCAAGCCTTCATTAAACCCTATAGACTGTCGTTACAGAACCCCTAAAAAGAGCCTTATTAAATAAGAAAACCAAAATCACTTGAAGACTTTAAATAGCAGCAACATCTAAGAAGAGGGAAAATTATAATATAATCAAGCTTCTCCCCCTTCCATACTACCTTAAACAAATCATTAGGAAGGAAATTAAAAAGGGTTATAACAATTACTGGATTTGGGAACTTTGATATAATTTAATGGTTAGCAAGTTTTTTTCCTTTAAAAAATAAATGTAGACAGTCCTCTACCACAGTGGGAGCACAAAGAACAGACATATTAAGAATGCACACTTCTTAGCATGTGTAGCGAAGTAAAATATTATAATAAAAATATTAATATAATATTTTGTTCTATGATGTATTGAGCACTTAAAAAATGCCAAGAACTATGGATTCTTAATCTGTCTGTTCTTTGTCTTTATATATATATATATATATATATATATATATATATATATATATATATATAGAGAGAGAGAGAGAGAGAGAGGAGAGAGAGAGAGAGAAATATATAAAGAGGAATAGAGCAAGAACGTTCTTTTTATTATTCTACAGATATTTAAAGGGAATAATATGATACAAAGACATTGAAATACTGGTTGAATAACGTCATGCTTCAACAAAATTGAGCAGTCGCCTAATTTATTTCGTTGAACACAAAGAAATCACCATTTTGAAAAGCTCTAGTGGGCTAAACTGGGTAGTGTCGAGGGCAGCATACAGCGCTCAGGCTGTATATTGTGTGGGCCTGGAATAGATCATAACAAACTTACACAGACAATGAAGTTAAAAAAAAAATAGTTCATTAAATTCTCACCTGTACATTTTGAGTATAAGAACACCGTAAACAATGGTAAAGCCAACCTCTCGGAACCACGGCACAAGCAGACACGTCAACATCGTTGGTTCAAAGTAACGAATCACAACCTTGAAAAGACAATGAAACATTAGTAAATACATTGAAAATATATGTATGTTGTATCCGAAAATGCTATTGAAAATGAGTTATTGTTTTTGAACGCGCAAAAGCAACGCTGAGTTTGATTTTAAATTTTTAAAAGTTGTGCGTTCATATAAAATATGGTGATGAACAAATTTTTTACTGGTAAATTTTTCTGTCAAAGTGGCATGAACTATATTGTTCAATAATTACAGTAATGTCGCACTTATTATCCAATATTTCAATAGCATTTTCGGATACAACAATACATATATTTTCGTTGTCCTCTTATTACTAAGAGAAAAAACAAGAAGAACATCTATTCTATACCTGAAGATGTCTGTAGGAACAGACGAAAGCTTGTAGTAAAATAAGAACTAACACGGCAGAAATTTATATAAACAAGGATCATTTCATTCATAACGGATACGGAGGTTTTTGTATATTATTTGAATTGTTTGCGATGATGGATGTCTCGCCATTTAAATCATTAACCTTTGCATTAGTTTTTGTGTAAATAATTCATGTATTTGTAAATTGATTGCACGTTTATCGTAATAATATATATATATATATATATATATATATATATATATATATATACATTGAAATATATATATATATATATATACATTGAAGTATATGTATATATATATATATATACATTGAAGTATATATATATATATATACATTGAAGTATATATATATATATATATATATATATATATATATATATATATATATATAAGATTATAGGTTGATATATAGATACATACATATGTACATGGATACCTATTTATGGCATTTTTCTCCATCCAAAATGGTTCATATAAAAAGTTGAGATAACCTGTAGACTAATAGATACAGAGGCACCTTAAATAAAAAAATCTTGCCAGATCGATACTTTCATATGGATGTCACGCATGGTGTCAAATTCGTTCAGAAATATCTAAACTGTCAACTGTATACAACCGCTTTCTCGGATCAATGGTTAAAATGGCTTCGAGCGAGTGAAGCCGCTGGATCTTGGCGTATACCATCCTTCTTCAAACAGGTGCTTCTACAGAATCACAGTCAAAGAATTGTATCAGATAAAAGAAACCACATCGCTTGAGGATTTTCAACAACAGCAACAATTAAAGTGGATAACGCATTATTTACATTATTCGGACTATTATCCTCATCTTTGTCACCATGTTTATCACAACGTTTCGGCCGTTGTACGCTCCGGCCTTCTTCAGGTGGTTGGAATGTCGAACTGAGTCCTTTATTTCGCTCACTGGGGTAGACTGTTCTAGTTCCACTTGCCATGTCTAATGGATGTCAGTTATCTCTTGTTAATTCCTCTCTCAAAGTTCTTAACCAGGTATTGAACTCACACACTTTGGGTCCTGTCACTGGATCTAACTATCGCCTTTATCCACTGTGCCATGTGTCCTTGTGATAAACATGGTGACAAAGATGAGGACAACAGTCCGAATAATGTAAATAGTGTACATAATACCTCATCTCAGAAATATAGACAGATACTGGATAACACATGGAACTCGAAGAGAAAATAATGTCATAATCAAGATGTTGTTACACCCTACTTAAAATAAAAAATTAGGAAGGAAACCCCATACAATATTGTAAGCTGTATATAACCGTTTTTTGTCAAAGATCGATGATTAAAATTGGCTTCGAATGAATAAAGCTTATAGATTCTAGAGAGGAATATCCTTCTTCGAACCTTCGGACTGGCGCTACATAATCACAAAGAACTGTACCAGATAACAGAAACGATATCACTTGAGGACTTTCAACAGCAGCAACTATTAAAATGTATATCACATTTAACTCGAAGAGAAAACAACGATATAATCAAGATGCTCTATACTACTTCAAATAAAAGGGTAGGAAAGAAACTCCCTTTAATACTGGAAAGAGCCATAACAGCTACTGGACTCGAGAAACCTACTTTCATGAAAAATTGTTTTAAGAGAAACTGACCATATTACTGACTGCTCGCTTAATGAATACCGAATGTTTCCTTATAAGGAAACAGCTAATATGACTCTTATCATTAAATGTACCTTGACTAATTAATAAAACTGTCATATTAAATGTTAATAACGGGGGTTTTATACGGATTCACATAGAATAATTTTATTTTTATTACTTTTTATCTTTAAGATTTGAATTCTGTAATATTTTTTGTCCGCAAAGTTACAACCGCCATTTTGGAACGGCCGAGTTACGTCATAAGGAAAACAAGCATATTAATTACCATATTTCATATGAGATACATTTTTAAAATGATGACTAAGAAATATACACAAGGTCATATATAGGAAGTTTCGATATAATTTGATGCTTATCCAGATGTCGTAGACGAACAGTGTTTTTATCTGGCCTAACTCCATATTACTGCAATATTAAATGTAAATAGTGTATTATTATATACAAAGTTAAGGCGTCTGGGCGGCTAATGTTTATGCAGATGCCCTAGACTACAAATTCTTGTATCCAGCTTTGCTCTATAATAATTTAATATTAAATTGGAATAGCCGAGGTTTATATGCAAAGTTGAGGTATTTAGTCGACGAATGTTTACCCAGATGTAGTGGTTATCGATTCCATAAGTGGGATGGATGTACCGAGTTCGAATTCCGGTCGTGGATGTTTTGTTCACTTTCACACCAATACCGTTGAGAAAGGTGTGAATCCATTTCTTCTCCCCCCACCCCTTCGCCGTGAGCTAAATAGTAGAGTAAACTGGGATGTCTAGCCTTGAGTGGCAACCAACGAGAAAGCACGTGAACTCACCTTATTATCTTTCCCAAGGCAATTCACAGAGAACAGAACGTCCCTAAAGAACAAGGCATTTAAAAAAATGTGGATCGAATTTACTTATCTAAACACCGTCAATTTATCGTAGCTTGCTAATCATGACAGTACAGTAGATATTTGTAAAAAAGCGTATTCCTGTAACAATCGTATTCCTGCATTCTGTAAAAAAAAATCGAATGGTGTCTAATACGAATGACTTGCCAGACAAGATTCGAGTGTTACAGGAATCTGTCTAGATTTCTGAGATGAGGTACTTTGTACATTATTTACATTATTCGGACTATTGTCCTCATCTTTGTCGCCATATTTATTACAACGTTTCGGCCGTTGTACGCTCCGGCCTTCTTCAGGTGGTTGGAATGTCGAACTGAACCCTTTATTTTGCTCAGTGGGGTAGACTGTTTCTAGTTCTACGTGCCATGTCTGTTAATTCCCCTCTGAAAGTTCTCCACTGCCTTAACCGGGTATTGAACTCACACTCTTTTGGGTCCTGTCACTGGATCTAACTAACGCCTTTATCCACTGTGCCATGTGTCCTTAAGGCAGCGGAGAACTTTCAGAGGGTAATTAACAAAAAATAACTGATAACTAACATCCATTAAAACATGGCACGTGGAACTAGAACAGTCTACCCCAGAGAGCGAAATAAAGGTTTCAGTTCGATATTCCAACTACCTGAAGAAGGCCGGAGCGTACAACGGCCGAAACGTTGTAATAAATATGGCGACAAAGATGAGGTCAATAGTCCGAATAATGTGCATTTTTAGAAATATTATACAACCGCAACTGATCGTTAATTGATTCAGTTAACTATGTGACAAGACCAAATTTCTAACTGACAATCGACCTCACTTTGAAAGTCATATAAAAAAAAATTCACAGAGAGAGAACAGTCGAGAAAACAATCATCTAGAGTCCAGATTGGATAAAACAATCAGCTACAGAAACATTCAGTTATCTATTTTGTTCATACTAACTAGTCTTTCATGATAAAGCTATGAAACTGTTTTTTTTTTTTTTTTTTTTCTAGCCTGTTCGGGTCGAAACTTCTCATCGTAATATTTTACTAGTATGGCGGTAGGACAGATAAGGAAAGCCTATCAACAGGCCCGCCCATTCACACACACGCACACGCACACAGATAGAGAGAAAGAAAGAAAGAAAGAAAGAAAGAAAGAAAGATAGAAGAGAGAAGAGAGAAAGAGAGAGAGAGAGAGAGAGAGAGAGAGGTTTTTTCATGGACAGCAACAGAGCGCATCCACCTTGAAATATATTTAACATCCACGCATCTGGAAAAGGATATTATCATGGTCATACATCCATATTGATTGACTAAAGACTGTTCAACTCTCCTTTCTCTACATAAAAAGCTTTTTGTCCCAGTATTCTTTTCCGTTTTGAAATAAGTACTCTTATCATTGGCAAGAATTGTTGTGTGTTCAATTCGTACTTCTTGATCTTATCGCCTTATAAAAAAAAATGTTGCTTCTGCCGTTTCAAATGTTCTTCTTTCACAGTCATTTTCGCGGCCGTACCTATGCCACTTGAAGTTATACTTTGGGAATTTAATAATCCAGTGATTCCTCGACTAGCGAGACGCTCTGGGTTTTCTATACATGGACACCATGGCATAAAATACCTACACAGAGCCTATGAATTTCTACGATATCACCAAAAACGAGAAAAGGGTTTTTGAATTTGCTGACATGATAAGGAAAAACGTGAAGATCATGTTCAATTAGGTTATGAAAAACTTGGTTTCCAACTAAGAAGTCCTTTTGCTTTACGTCATCTCTACATTAAATTGTATATTATCATCATTAGTCAATGTTTCCAGATTATGAACTGACTTATTCCTCAATGTTAATTACGATCTTGAACCAGTTTATATAGTGTCTGCCACTCATTAGGCGGTGACCACAGAATTATACCATAACTCCACCTCTGTTTTGGTTTTCTACTATTTTTTTCTTCAGGATACCCTAACCACAAGTCTCAATTTAGCGAGACCTTCACTAGATCTTTTGATTTGTCTTAACAATTTCAAGGATTTCTTACGGAAAGTATCGAACCGTGAAGGCAAATTGATTTAATTTCCAACAGGCCTATTTTCACTTTGTTTATCAGTTTGTGATCGATGATGAGGCGTATAATA